AGTTTGGAGCCCTTCAACTAGCAGGCATTCAGGGAAAGTTGATGGCTAACCTTGCCATGGAAATGCAAGAGTATGACATGAATCCATCTGTGATAAGTCATGGCCAGAAAATCTTGGGATGGTAAGGTGTATCAGCAAAAGTATTGTTTTTTGCCACCTTTTTAATGGATTGGCTCAATATTCTCATTGAAAGTTCACTTGGGAAGGTGGGGATCTCCTGGGTCCCCAGCCAGTGTGCAGCCATATGGGGTTATTGACATATGAGAAATACAAAGTGTCAGGCTTAGAAGAAATATAAAATAAGTAGGATCATGATCAGGATGATTCTACAGAGGCAACTAGACTTTGAAGAAGGCAGAGATCAGGAAGCACAAAGGAATGAACGAAGACACAGAGCCAGGAAAGGTCCACAGTTTATGACATGTACTTTAACTCTTGGGCTGCTCGCTAATTGTTCTATGTGTTACTTTTGTGACTATAATTTTTGGATAGTGGATGCCTAAAAATATTTGTTCTTAACCTTATTCATTATTCTAAAGGTATTCTAGTTTCAGATGAGTATTTTTTCTTAATCTTCAATTGGTCTTTAGTTGCTGAACCTCCATCAACTGAGAAATATTATTAATTTAACAGCAGAGACAATGTTATACATGTTCTCTGAGATTTTGTTTTAAATTAATTAAAATATTTGATTACATAATATTGGAAACATTGAAAAGAATATGTGGGACATTTATAAAAGTTATGATGGGCATATTATAATAATACATAACATAATAGCATAATATAAGATGCAACATTAGTAATGCCATATCTCTGCCTCTTGCCCAGAAGTATTAATATCTTGAATCTTATATTTTTATTATCTTGACTTTTAAACTATAATTTAATTACATATGTACATATCTCCCTGATACTTAGTTTTGATTTGTTTTTATGCTTTATAAAAATGATTTCATGTTATTTTTAGTCTCCTAGGTTCTGCTTTTTTCGGTTAATACTGCATTATGTTTCTAGGAATAGTCCTTATTTGTGGATGTAGTTAATATTGTTTTGTTGCTGTATAGTATTCCATTGTGATGTTATTTCCTTGTATTACCTATTCATTCTCCAATTGATGGATGCTTGGGTTATTTCCACATTTTTGCTATTTAAAGATTGCTGCATAAGTATGATGGTATGTGCAGTAGTTTCTTTAGAGAAATGCCTTGCAAACTTCATTTAGAATTGTAAACCAATAGGAAATACACAAATCTGTGGATATCAATCTATCATCTATCTATTTATCTTCTGTTCAAAAACTTCAAGAAAGAGTGTTTTTCTCTACTATGACTCATAAAATCCAGTCTATTTTTTAAAATGCTGGTAGAGACTCAATGCATTGACTTCATTCATAATTTGCATCTGCAGTTTGAAAACTAGACTAGGTTGTATATCAGGCTATGGGATTGCCAGATCTTATTATGATATGCAAAATTTCAACTTTACAAAATGATGGCATATGATTTCCAGAGTGTTTTATCCAGCTTATTTCTATGAATTCTTGTTAATCATATCTTTATCAATACTTGGCATTTCAGACAAAATTATGTTTCACCAAGAAATCTATTAAGTTAGTAAATGATACCAGGATATATTAATGATTTTTATTTATGTTCTCATTTTACACCTAAAAATTTATAGCCCAGTAAAGTGCCAGTGTTTCTAAAAGACTAGAGAACACTGAATTGTCTTATACTTGGTTTGAGATCATGTATAGGAATGTCTTCACATTTTACTTGCTTAAAAATACATCTTATTCTCTTAGCTTTGCTGCTTAAGGGTGTAACTACTGATATATCTCAGTTATGACTTTGTACTTGATTATTTTAAAGTATCGTTGAGAAATTATCTCCTAAGTAAAACCTAAGCCTACTGTAAAATAGTTATGTTGTTTCTGCTGTGGCATGACACATTTCTAACAAGACTGGAACTTTTATGGACAGTTGGTGATGTCAGTTTTAAACTCAAAGGATTGAGTAAGTTGAAATAAGCAGGCTGTTGGATGGAAACTTTGGGTTGATTCAGTCAAAATGTGGCCTTTTGTATTTGAGGCTTAAATGTAACTTAGTGAATTTGCGAACCTTCCTGTGATTTTTAAAGTTGAGAATATCTTTCCTGGTATTTTCTTTATGCTTACTAAAATTGTGATTCTGTGTGCCGGTATATTCCCTCTTGGCTTTTGCTACTTTTCATGATGCTTTAGCATGTGAAAGTCTATTTGTTCATCTAAATTCCGTGACTAAAGAAGAATTTTTGCTCTGTACAGTGACTGACTTCATTATTCATGGACAGTCTCCTGGTTAATGGGTGATCACCCATGACTTCTTAAGGCACTTTCCGTACTTCTTTCTGACCTGAGTGGTTCCAACAAGAGCTAAACTCACCTCTTGTTTAAACTTTCAAGGCAGTGGTGTAATCATGCCTCGACACTCAACAATGTTGTTTGATGTATATTTCAACAACACTATCATCACTATCAACAAAAATATTTCCAGCATGGTACTGAACCCTTCTGTTCTGTATGTTTGCCTGGCCTGAGAAGGTCCAGAGCTCATTACAATGGATGAGTTCACTTAGTTCAGTGCAGATTTAGCCTTTTGTTTTGTTTTTAATTTCTGGAATTCTTTTTTGTTTTTAATTTCTGGAATTCTTTCCCAAGCAGTGAGAATGCAAACTGCAGGCATAGAGGCTTTTGCTTATATGGTGGGAGTGTAGCAGTTAAAAGGAGTGGAAGCAGTGTGTGAAGGTGAAGTGCAGAAATGTTAGGGTTCTCCTTGGTGTCATTACTTCAGCTACACCTTACCTACATCTTTAGGGAGTTCCACACAGAGAAAATTAGTGACTTGGAGAGCCAAGTTCTTACCCTGGAGTTGACCCACTCTGAACTGTGGAAACAGAGAAAGCTGTCTTGTGCTAGTTACAGACTGTGGGTCTCACCACCCTGGTACAATGAAGAAAAATGCATCACTTTTGGCCTAGCCCAGAGTTCTAGATTCTTCACAAAGAAACCAGTTTCTTTCTACCTACATTTAAAATAAAAACAAAATAAAATAATGCAGCATACTCCCTTTTTCCCAGTAAACCATTTAGTAAAGCCAGAAATAGCTCCCCCCAGTATATTTTATTATATTTTTAAGACTTTCAATATTTGAAGCAGGTGAATGGCATTGTGTCCTGACTTGGAGTTCTCATTGCAGAGGCAGTGAAGGTATCGAATTTGGGAAGCATTGGACAGTTGTAGTACAGGGCATAGCAGGCCATTCGTAGTAGAGTCTCAGTAAATACATATGACTGGATCACAGAATTAATGAAAGTGTTGAGAAGTACGTGAGGAAGACTTCTCAGAGGAGTTTCAAGAGCTTTTTAGAAGTACTCTCTACTCTTAAGCACAGGAAAGATACTAAAATATTATTGGTAGTAGCAGGCAGAATGGCCATTCATTCTTCATGTGATGTGGATTTCTCAGGGAACAAATGTAGGAAAGAAGAGAAGGGAAAAGTCATGTGTTCTTTTTACCACTGTAGACTTCAGGCTGGAGTTAATAAAGTTAATACATTTAAAAAATAATCCCCACAAACATGACTTGTGTGTTGTCATAGAGGAGGTTTGGGATGAAAAATAGGAAATGTTTTGAAAAACATGCTCTGTCCCTTGTATGGTATGATTGTGAGACAGTGTTTTTGCCTTACCAGCAGCTAACATTCCTCCCATCTCCCCACTACCATTTGGGGAGAGAGAGAGAGAGAGAGAGAGGGAGGGAGAGAGGGAGAGAGAAGAGAGAGAGAGAAGAGAGACATGGACCAGCAAGTGACAGAGAAATATGTATGTGTGCATTACAGAGGAAGTAATTTCTCTTGTTCTTAAACATTCGTAAGATTAAAGAATGAAATCCAAGCTGTCTTGAGATGACTTTAGAACAATGAGAAAAAAGTCGAATATGCCTGGTTACCTACAAAAACCATTTTAAGCACTTACTTAAAATGAGACAGACGCTATGCATTTTCCACATTTGAGCTAAGCTATTCTGCATGGATATCATCTGATATTTAGAATAATACAGCTCATCTGTTTTCTGAAAGACGTGCTGGGAACACTTTTAAAAAGTATTTCATTGACTACAGCAGGAAAATACCACTGCTTTGCTTATACTAAAGCTGGAACAGTTGTAAAATTCTTAAAGTTTTAAGGATATTTGGTGTTTTGATGGGCAAGGAGTTTGTAAGATACAGTGTCCTTAAAAACTGATTTGTTCTGCAGTTTGCTGACAATGATATTCTTCAGTGCCCAACAAAAACATTTAAATGATAAAATGGACACAATATATTTTTTAAATTAAATTATATTTTGGAAGTAAAAATGTAAAGTGTTATCTCTGAATTCTGTTGAAGGATCTAGATTGTTTCTGACCAAAAAATTAGATATATCATTAGAAGTAAAATTTATAAATTTTAGCAGGTAACCCTAAGAACTACAACATAAAGCTTGGTAAATATTTATTGTATAGAAACATACTTATTCCTGAAAAAAACTGTATGTGAATCAGATTTTTGTAAATTGAATCATACTTTTACATGTATTATGACTCATTATGTAAGACAAATAATCTTTCCAAGTTTATATTTGTAGTAAACCCAGATTTTCATGGGTCAGAATTGCTTGGAATAAGGACAACTTTCATTGCATAAAATTTGGTTTATTCTTCTTGAGGTTGCTAAGGTACAGAAAGTTTTTTTTTTTTTTTTTTAAAGAGGAACAGTTATTCACAAGTTTATAAACAGTTCAGTAAAAATAGATTTCTGAGCATCTTTAATTTGTAATTCATAAATCATTCTTGCAGAAATACTTGGCCTTAAATCTTATTCTCCTTGAGAATGTTGGATGTTTATAAAACATATTAAGAATTACAAATATATGATGGAAGGAAGAAAATTATATTTTCAGTAATAGGATGATATAAATTTGTGTACATATGAAATTTCAATCAAATCACTCTAATCCAAATAAAAGAAGCAGGTTTAGAGAAGGGTCTTTATTGAGAATAAGCTCTGGATAACACAGGCTTTCTTGCAACCCTATTTGGGTTCCACTGTGAATTAAAGTCCTATTTGGTTCTGTTATCCTGTTTCTCTGCTGAGTTCTGGCTGTTTAATTAAAGTTTTAGTACAATCAAGAGCCCTGATAAATGAGTTGTCTCTGTGTGTAAGATGATCACTACCTACTGTCTAATTGGAAGCCCAAGACTTATCTTAGTAATAAGAGAAACATGCAGTCACATTTTAGAGCCAATAGCACATTATTTTTAAAATCTAAATCAATATGGGACATCAAGTCTTTCTGTAGTCTTAAGAAGAGCTGGACCAAGATACATGGGCACCTGGAAGAGCCTAATTACTTGGGGCTACTTCAAACCATGTTGGAGAAGGGGGGATCAATCTTTGTTCATAAAAAGCTTATTCAGGAAGAATTCAAGTTTGTTTTATCTTCTGAAGCAGAATCAATGCCTGAAAAAACAGTGGGCAAGATATATTCAACTTTTCTGCAGTCTTCTTTTCAGTTGTCTGCTGTGATTTTTTTTTTGACTCAAGAGGCATTTTCCAGTTGATAGAAAATGTAAAGTGAAATGCATTCCACCTTCTCCTCCCCCACTCTTCCTTTTCCAAAGGCAATGAATGTGAACAGTTCGTCCACATCCTTTGAGGCATGTGAAAGTGTTAATGTGAGTCCCTTCCTAGTCTAAGCTATTATGTGAAAAGGGTTCAAAAAGCAATTAAGTTACTTCCTGCTTTCCATAAGATATGCGAATATCCATATTACTGTTTCAGAATGTCCTTGGCTTCCTCATTTTAGGTGCAGCTCAGGCTCTCTAAGCCTCTCGGGACACAGCCATTGTTGCTTTCCTCCACCTTCTTTTGCTGTGGCATTGAAGGGTGTTGAAATGGAGACAGACTGCCTAGCTCTTCATTGTAGCACTACCACTCACTATAGATGTGCCTTGACTTATAAGGGGTATGCATCCTGATAAAAACATCATTGACAATATCATCAGTCGAAAATGTATATAAGGTGGGTGTGATGGCCCACACCTGTAAATACCTGTGAACTGTCTTTGAAAAAAATCTATATTTGCACTGTTTCCCAAAATGAGTAGATAATTCAGGGGTCCACAGATACCCTGAAATTCCTTCATTGGCCCCTGAATGGAGCAGAGCACCTCAGTTGTCTTCTTTGGCACAAAATGTCCACCCTGCAATACCATGGTCATTAAGACGCCAGAGAACTGGTGTCGCCTCACAGATTTGTAGAAAACCTCTAAGTACAGCTAGGAAAGCCTCCTGCCCAGAATGTGAAATTATGACCATTCCCATGTTTATCCCACTTCATGACACTAAACTGATATGTACATGAGGTAATTGTTTATATTTTACAGTGTAACTTTATGATTGCCACTCATTTACTCATTTGGAACATGTAGGGATGACAGGCTAATTTAAATGAGGACAAATTTGACTTAATCAAATTTGTGTGTGTGTGTTTTAAGTCAAGTTTCTTTTCAAGTGTGTGCAGTAATGAGATATGGTGTATGTGTGCCAATGATGATAATAACAGCCAACCCTTTTATACATAGATTTCTTTTGGAGCAGGATGTTTTTACACTCTAAACATATTTCTTATTTCTGTATTAATTACTGGTGTACAAAAAGTGCTATAAAGTAGTCAAGAAAACAGTCTGTTCCTTGAAGGGGATTAAAACGTTCCTTCAGCAAATGTGTTCTGATTCTAAATTTGATTACTAAACTGTTTTCTAGAGACCATACCAGGGAATACTTAATGCTGGCCATGAATTAGAGGGTTGGAGTTGACAAATTTGAAAAATTAAAAACAATAACAAGTAATCAAACAACAATATTCTGTTGTGGTGACTGTCTCTGCGTTGAATCCTTACAGAACAGAAAGAGGACAGCTGACACGGTGAGCTCACTGCAGTGTTCAGTCTGGTAGGTGATGGAGACTTCTTTTGGCCACAATGACCATAAAACAGGGCCAATCAGGAGCTGTTAGAGGCTCCATGTGCCCAGCCCTTAGGTATATGCCCCAGGGCATCTAATTGACACAGCCATCGAAAAAAGAGTTTATCTTTTATTTTCCTTAGGATTGAAAATTACGCTTCCATAAAGGCCAAGTGTGTGGAAATAATCTTCAATGCTAAGGAAGAGGGAGGGTGAATTTAAACTGACAACTTAAAAAAAAATTCATGTTTCCCAAACCCTTAGCTAGCTGGGTAAATTGTTTTTTAGTATTGAATTACATAGTTAAATCATGGTGTATGCATGTGGTCAGTGCTGCTTTTCTTTTAAGTGAGCCTGTTTATTTAAAAAACTTGAAAATGAGAAGTTGTTTTGCTCACTCAGTTGGAGTTTATTGTAAAATTTGGATGCCAGAAAAAGAAAGAAGTACTGTTCTTGTGCTGGGTGTGTGTGAACCAGGCTGGGGTGAAGGGGAGAAAGCACAGCCATAGTGCTTTTTCTTCTCTGACCAAAGAAGGAAAGCTAATGGTCAACAGAAGATGTCCGTAGAGCTCAGGGGCTATGACCATCAGATGACACACTAGCAGATGCCTCCAAACACAGTCGTGCCAACCATACATTTCACTGTTACTCCTTCGTAATAATAAAAGTAATTCCAGAAAGAAACAGCTAGAAAGCAAAGTGGAAAGTGTGCTGGTAGATGAAATTTGTTATTCAAAGGGTAAGTTTGATGCTTGTGGAAAATAAGTGGTTGTTTTGCATTATTTTGGGCCATGAGATCTCATAAATGAAGGTCTCAGACTTGACCCCAGGAGGTAGACTGATTAGGCAACAACAGCAGTTGTGTGAGTCCCAGGATCTCATGTAGCACAGCCAGCCAACAACCACAGAGTCAGGCATCTGTCCCCCATGCAGGTCCTTGAGGGAGCTGAGCCATCCTGATTAGATGGAAATCAGGAGCTGTAGAGAGACCATGTGACTTGCCTGGCCTCACACCTTTGATCTGTGACAGGAGACCACAATTCTTTTATTAAAAAAGTGAGATCTCAAGATCTCTCTCTCTCTCACACACACACACACACACACCCCTTAGAAAACGATGGTGGTCTGCCAAGTTAGTTTATGTTTTGTGATTTTAATCCTTCTAATGGCAACTCAGTTATCCTCTCAGGAATCTTTCTAGAGTCCCCTAGACTGAGCTAAGAACTCTTTTCATACCCCATCTCCTGCATGGCTCTTGTTATATGTTGTAGGAATTAACTGGTTATATTTCTGTTTATAAATGCTTTACATATATTCATCTTTAAAAGGTTACCTCATTTGTTTCTTTCTTCTTCATACTTTATAAGATTGATGTAACTACAAGCAATATTAATTGACCTTCCTCCTTTTTTTGCAGCAGTAGGTTTTTAATGGTCCCTAAGAGAGTGCTGTATTTTAGTTAGGAAGGCCTACCTGGGCCGTGATGTCATCAGGAGGTCCTGGAGGCATAGGGCGTTTAAAGTCTCCTGTAGTGGAAAACTGTTGGGAGTCAGGTTGACACTACTGAGCAAATGTGGGCAGAGAGGACCTGCGCTGTTTTCTTTAGGGCAGTGGGTAGCTGGAGTTGAAAAGGGGCCCCTTTGTTCTTCTAGTGACTATAACCTTGTAGGAGTGAGAATGGAATAAGCTTTATGAACCCCAAACTGCTTTCCATGGACATATAGAAACTATTAATATAGAAACAAGAACCTTAGTATTAGTGAAATTCCAAACAACATAGACAAGAACTTTAGTGTTCATGAGATTCCAAGTTTGATTCATTTTTAGTGTTTACTTTTTCCATTAAGACATACATCAAACATACAACCAAGTACAGAGAATAATATTTTGAAAATCCACATACCTACCGGTCAGCCTTCTTATTTTCTATTCTTTTCCTTCCCACCTAGAAGCCACTGAATGTGGTGTTTATTACTCTGAGATTCTAAATTTATCTTTTGAGGACCTCTCTTAATCCAAGGGCTTGTGCTTAATGGAATAGGAACTATGTCTTGAGGCAATAAAAGCTGTGGTTTTGGAGTCACCGTGAAACTGCAGCAATTATTTGAAATGCAGCAATGAGATCAGACTGCAGAGGACTAAAATTTTTCAGAGCCTAGATTCAGCACTAGTTGAGATTTCTCTAAGGAACGAGGAGGCATGGTAGGTAGCCCCTGAGTCATTCTTCAAGGTAAAACTCAGATGATATAAGGGGATGAATGGTTTAAGAGTAATGTTTTTCTAACTTTTTTGATTGTAAGGCACAAAAAAATTTTTTTTGCATGTGGACTCATCACACACACTTGCACACACTTCTGAATGAAAAGTTTTAGTGAACTCATCATACACATTGTTATTCTTTGTTAGCTGCCTTGAATATAGCTTGTTTTGTTTTGTTGGTTTTACAAAAGCTATTTTGTTCTGATAAGTTGGTTTTATGTGCCATTAGTAGATAGGAACCCACAGTTTAAAACAACAATTTAAAAAAGCCAAACCAACCCCAGTTTGGGGAATTGTAATTTGTTCCATGAGACAAGTTTTTTAAAAAGATATATTTAGTCGAGCTCTGCTTAACATTTTCACAAAAGTCTTTTCTCTGTCACTGACCTAAACCATAAATATTTATGCCACAACTTACTAATAACAGATCCCATGTAAAATTAAGCTTAAACCAAAGCTCTTTGGGGGTTTACGTTCTTTAATGACATGCTGCTCCTCCTGCTTCACTTCATGCTCCTCACCTTTCCAACCATTGCTGTGAGGCAGCTTGTTTAACTGGAATGAACAGAACCTGAACACAGACTTAACTATACTTTATAAATTCACTATTGTTAAGCCACAAAATCAGCCTTTCCAAATAAAAGTGAGCATAAGTCACACTGCCAAGTGGAAAAGAACAACTTTTGAGTCCTTAATTCTTTTCATCACAGTTTACCTCTGTACAGTCTTAATAAGGTCCATATGAGGAATAAAGTGATGTAAGCCTTGTATTCTACTCGTTAAATGTCATGAATTTTTGTGTAACCAGGCTGACATCCTGCTCATAGAAAGTGCCTGATAATGATCACCATGACAAGAGATCACATATTACTTTGGTTCAAAAGAAATTTAAGGCTGGGAGTGTAGCTCAGTGGGAAAGCACAAACCTGGCATGCACAAGTCCTGGGTTCAGTCCCTAGCACTGGTGAGTGCTGGGGTGGGGTGGGGGGTGGGTATTTACACAATGTGACTCAGAAAGGTGACTTCCTTCAGGGAGGCAAAGAAGAATTACATTTAATGTATATTAAACAAACAGTTGTTGGAGATTATGAGCTACATTGTGTTTAGGAGGCTAAAATGAGTCAGCTTGCTCCAAAAGGTAAGCAGCAACAGCCACTTTAAACATTAATGAGGTCACTACTTCCTCAAATGTGGAAGAAGGAGAAGGTTTTGTTTAAAAACACTCTTTCACAGTAGAGGAAATGTGGTTTTACCTCAGGAAATTTAAATGGGTTGGTTGAATAACTGGGAAGGAATATCTCCTTCGGGTGAGAAAGTGAAGAATTCAGCTGATTTTCAGACACAAGAACAAATACGAGAATAGCACTTTTTGATGTATACATTTATGAATGTGACTGTGTGTGACTTGTAGAAGAGCAGTTCTCAAACTTTTTGGCCTTTTGAACCCTTTCCACTTAAAAATTGTAGAGAACTCCAAAAAACTTTTGCTTATGTGGGTTATGTCTGTTCATTTTAAGGATTAAAACTATAAGAAATTTAAAAATATATTTATTGATTCATTAAAAATAATCCATTATATATGAACACTTGATATATGAATATATAATGGAATAATGAATACATTATATATGAACATTCTAACATTAAAAACTATGTTTTAAGAAATAGGAGAGCCAGGTGTGGTGGTGCATGCCGGTAATCCCAGCACTCTGGAGGCTGACACAGGAGAATTGCCACAAGTTCAAGGCCAGCCTGGGCTACATAGTGAGACCCTGTCTCAGAAAATTAAAAAAAAAAGGAGAATATGATTTTTTTATATCCTTAATCCTTGGTTTAATAGATGACATCAGGTCTCATGTCCACTTCAGCATACAGCCTGTGTGATGTGTTATTTTGGTTGGAGTGTGTGAAGAGAATTTCATTCACACCAATACATAATTGGAAAAGAGAGGACCTCATAACCCGACTCAGGGATCTTTGGGCCACACTTTGAGAAGCACTGTTCTATAAAGTATTTGGGAAGAATATATGTAGAAGAGTGGCTCTCTCTGAGTGATGAGACTGTCCTACCATGAGGCTGGATTCCTTGTGCAGCCTAAGAAGTAAAGCATGAACATTCTGAGGGACCATTATGGAGGCCCAGGAAACCCAGGCAGAGACTTTACACTTGGGAAACCAAGGAGCCATGTTATTTATTTCTTTTTCTTTTTGGTACTGGGGGTCTATCTCAGGACCTTGTGCTTGCGAGACAGGTGCAGTGCCACTGAGCTAAGTCGTCAGCCCAGTAATTTCTTAAATAGGAAAATGACTTGGTAAAAGTTGTGTTGGGGAGTACAGTAAATGGATTAGAGTGGAAAGAGAGAGGAAGGAGAAAAGCCACTCGAGAGGTCGCTGCAGTGAACTGGGTAAGTGGCAAAGTGGGGTAGGCCTCAGGTCTTGGCAAAAATGGAAAGAGCCAAACTCTGAGAGAGCATTTGAAGGTGGTGACCATGGCCAGGATGTGGTGGTGGTGGTGGTGTGGCTAGCCAGGGTCAAAGATGACTGAGAGCTTTTCAGTTAGAACATTTGAACAATGTTTTTTTCCCTTCTGTCTTGAAACTGTTCTGAAAATTCCCTGGGTTTAGCTCACTGAAGCCTTGCCTTGTCTCGTCTTACAGAGTTGGCCAGCGCATGCAGGGGCTCAGGACGAAGCCACCATAGTTTCCACTGTGAATCCGTCACTGACGCTCCCCAGAGAAGAGTCAGCTTTGCACCTATGATGTCCCTGGGGAGTTCCTTGCTACTGTCCTCCTTGGGGCCCAGCAGGCCTTGAAGGGCCACGAGTCTGGTTTCCTGTGTGGAGACTCCTGTGGTCCACTTCATATGCACCCCAGCACCCCCATCAGCTCCCTCTTCTCCTTCACCAGCCCTGCAGTGAAGAGACTGCTCGGCTGGAAGCAAGGAGATGAGGAGGAGAAGTGGGCTGAGAAGGCAGTCGACTCTTTAGTGAAGAAACTAAAGAAGAAGAAAGGGGCCATGGACGAGCTAGAGAGGGCCCTCAGCTGTCCAGGGCAGCCCAGCAAATGTGTCACCATACCTAGGTCCCTGGACGGGCGTCTGCAAGTGTCCCACCGCAAGGGTCTGCCCCATGTTATTTACTGCCGAGTGTGGCGATGGCCGGACCTGCAGTCACACCATGAGCTGAAGCCCCTGGAGTGCTGTGAGTTCCCATTTGGCTCTAAGCAGAAAGAGGTGTGCATCAACCCTTACCACTATTGCCGCGTGGAGACCCCAGGTGGGTTTGCTCATCGTGTCTGGGTTTGTCACAGAGTTAAAGTGATGTGTCTTGATGGAGAATGGTGGGGACTTGAAAGACAAGGGTCTCTGCTGGTAGAGAAAGTGAGGTTCAGTTCTGAGGAGCAAAGCCAACATTTTGTATCCAGAAAAATCTAGGCAGAAGATATTTTAATTTCAGTACACATGTAAGCTTTATGCGCTTTGGAAAAGAGCAGTTTTATTTAACTTAATTTAGAAGGAATCATAATCTTTTCCTTTTCCTGGTTCTTAAGGTTTTGAAAGGTCTTAAAAGGGCCTTGATAATGATTAGCTGTAAAAACATAAACATGTCCCCACCAACTACACTGAATTATACTGAGCTAAACTGAGGAAAGTTTTTTGGCTCCACTTTGTCTAAGCTCAGATAAGTCGAAGGCATTTCATATCTCGGTCTGAAAACAGGCAGTGAAAGGATTGATGAAAGTTATTCCAGGGCTAAAAACAACGGGTTGAGGAAAGATTGCCAATTGTTCTTAAATATGGTTTTTTGTTTTTTTTTTCTGGCGCTGAGGATCAAACCAAGGGCCTCACATATGTTGAGTAAGTACTCTGCTAAGTAAATAAATGCAGCGCTTAAAACAGCTTAAAATATAGGAAAGTACTGTTCTAAAACTCTTCACACACTGATATACATGTGTGTATCCATATACCGTTTCCCCCTTTCTGGAGAAGTGTGCTGTTTTACCTTCTCCCTTCACACCGATTGTAACAGTTTTACTGCAGTTCTCTTTGGATGGAGTGTTCTCGTGGCATTCCAGGCAGGAATATAGTTTTTCTAATGGTGGCCTTCTTTCTTTCATCGGCCATCTGCCTCATTCCAGGAAACTAAAGTGCTGACACATCTGCTTAGGGAAATTGCCTGTGTCCAATTAGGAGACAGTGCTGTCTAGGTAGCAACTCAAGCATTAATAAAGGGTTGGAGAAGTAGTCCTGTCTGGCCTGCATCAGTAGTACACAGGCAACTCTTCAGGCTCCCAACGCTTGCCGTCATGTTATTTAGTGTTGTCACAGAAGTCACTGGCCTCGGCGTGGGTGCCTCTCAAACCACGTCTTCCAGCACGGAGACCCTATCTGGGGAGGCCATTACAAGGCCCCACATTCTTGGCAGATCTGATGAATTTCCCTGAAATCAAGGAAATCATTGCTTTTTCTTTTTTCATATTTCTGTTTGAATTCTCTGCATATTTAAAAAAAAAAGTCCGTGCAGAGTGGTGGCACACATCTGTATGCGCAGCAACTCTCTAGTGCTTGAGCCCGTGAGTTGAAGGCCAACCTAGGCAACATAACAACAAGTCTAAAAAAATAAAAAATTAACCACGCCTTGGTTTATGACAAAGATGACTTGATTCTTTTTGTCTCAAAGATTTGAGTTATATTTGGCATTCAGAATACACAACTTAAATGGAAAAGTGTTCATTAAGAAATACTTTCTTTCACAAGTAATGCAGTTGTAAAATATAAAAAGTTGTAACAGGTCATAAGAGTAAAATGGATCTGGTTTTCCTTTTGTATACTCATGTATTAGTTACTTTTCTCTCCTTGCTGAGACAAAATTCCAGACACCCAGTGTTAAAGGGGAAGGGGTTATGTGGCTTACAGTTTGTAGAGGTTTCAGTCCATAATCAGCCGACTCCAAGGCAGGGATGACGAACAGGCATGGCAGAGCAGAAACAACATGGCACTCACAAGGCAGCAGTGGTAACAAGAGAGAGGTTAACAGTGTCTCTCTGCCCCTTTTATCTTATTCAGACTACTTAGGATGGATAGCACTCACACCCTTAATCCTAGTGCCCTAGAGCCTAGCATTGCATTATGAATCATTTCCAGCTTCACACACTCTAGATCAGTCCTATGACCCCATGAGACTTTGGGGGGACATCTAGACCCAAACTGTAACAACTCAGAAACCTAATTTTAAAGAGCCATTTGGAAAAAAAAAAGCTGTTTGATATTTTAACTTTTCTGTACCATATTGATTTCCTTTTAGAATGATAGTGTCAAAGTTTACATATGTAGATAAATTTGACATCATCATATTTTAGGTTTGAATTTCCAGAAAAAGGGGGTCAAGATTGTATTAATTTAAAGTGATATTTAAGCTACACAGGTTTTTACTCCTAACAGACCTTTTTAATAAAACAGCAGAATTTACATGTACTTAGCCATGTTCAAAGTAAATATGTTGGGAATATTGAAAATGTTGATGTTAAACAAGTTTACTGAGCCCTTAATTACAATAAAAGCTTGAGTGTTGTCTTTTAAAGTTTATTTTTTAAAATGTGTTTTAAGTACATTGAAAGCTGCGTTCCAATTTGTTTTTCATTCACATGTCCACATAAGGAATCAGTTTCAGTGCTTCTCAAGCTGTCTGCAGTAAAGCATTGGTTTTTGCTTTTTAAATTTCCAGTTCTTCAAATCAGTACTTTTATAAAACAAATGAATCATTAGGCAAATGAAATGTAAAGGGACTTATAAAATGCAAGCCCAATTTTTAAAATTACTTGCTTTGACAGATATGAAATAACTGTCAAATTGTTATTGAGAATTTGTAAACCCTAGTGAAAATGTTTCATTACTAATCTCTTCATGAACTGGTCCCTAGCAGTGGTGAAATGTTTCAGGGTCCTCAATCTGCACACTGCCTGGCATGGGTCACACAGAAGCCATGCAAAAATATTTTCGCTTAGCGTGATGATTTTACCCCATGTGGCTGGAAGTTATTTCCGGAGCGTAATTTCTCCTTTACATAAAATAACCCCACTGTACCCAAACCACGTGCCCTCTGAGGAAAAGAGATTAAAGATTTCTTTTGCTTTGCATCCCTCTGTGCCCAGTAACTCCTTCTGCTACTTTTCTGTGTATAACACTGAAACAAAGATGGCATGGTGTTTAAAAGGTTTTACACAATACAGTGTTTACAAACTGTAAACACTGCATTGTATTTTCAGGCAGCAGTTGAGATGTGGAAATAGAAGTAAGTACTTAAGGGTAATAGTGCTTTGAGTGAAGATGTTTAAAAATATGATCAGTTGAAATCTGAGACAACTGAACCAGTCAAACCAAATAACAACCAGAATAATGCCATCTTCTTTGCATATATTCATCTAGATGGTAAAATATATTATCAAGATCCTTGACTTGATAAAGAAAATACATTCTTTCTTTGCTCTTGGTGCCTCAGATCTACTGTTGAAGAAATGAAAGTCTGCATTGAGAAGGGTATGAAGCATTGTGTTCATCAGTGTTAGTTTCTGCTCATCAATAAAAAGTGTTATTCGAACATTAACATTATGATAAAGAAATATCATTGAAGAAGAAGCTGTATATCATTTACTACCTCAGCCCCTTGTTTACTTGAGGCAAGTCATCTTTTTATTCCTGCATAGACATGAAACACACTAAAGGAAACTTCATTGTTTAGCTTCCATGTCCTCCCTTTTATTTTATCTTTTGTAGTGCTGGGGATCAAACGCAGGACCACCCACACGCTGAGCAAGTGCTCTACCACTGAGCTACACTTCAGCCTGTGTCATTTTTGCACAGTGATGTTGAATGTTTGTTCTCTAATGTTATAAGACAGCATTATAAAAATACTTATGAAGGGAGAAGAAATCATTTGTTTCTCTTCCACTCTCATCTGTAGTCAATTAAAAACCTTTCATTTATCTGCTAGATTATTTTTTTTGTTCATACAACTGAAAATTATTGCTTGTTAAGAAAGAGATAAATGTATTATGGTAAAAAGGGAATGGTAGGTTTTGTGACTGTTGTTACTGTTTTTGCATTATTACTGTTATTGAATGTTCCAAATGTTCCAAAATATTTTCTTTTTTAAGATCTTATTTTTTAGATCAGTTTTACAACATTTACTTTTAATGAAAATTTTTATCAATATTTGCATGTGCTAACAAATCAATACCGTGATTAAAAAGCAAGAGCCAACCTATCCATCTCTAGAAACATCTTTTAAACATTTCTTGCTTAGTTCTTTGCTGTTTCTTCCGGGATTACTACCAGTTATGGAGGTAACTCTAGATAATGTTTGTTCAACAGATAATCTATCACTCTTCTAACATAAAAAATGAGGGCCGAGCTACATATAGATCATTTTCTATCTTCTTTCCTCCTCTTGATATTTGACATCTATATTTTAGTTCATACTGTAGTTTGTATGGATTTTTGGTTTATTCTCTTGGTTTCTGTTGGGAATTTGGGGTTGAGATTGTGCCCTCAGAAGGTCGTTAGTCGGTTGTCTTCTAGTGGTCAGTGTTGAGGTGGCAAGTCAATTTTCATTTCCCTGCAGGTCACTATGACCCTCCAAGAGTTTCCAGAATATTCTATTTATCTTTCAGTGTTTGAAACACAAGATGGTATGACTAGGTCTGAATCTTTCTTCTGTTAACTGGGCTCTCTGGACTCTGTGTTTCTTTCCATCTGAAGACACAGATCCTTTTCAGCTCTGGGAAGTTCTCTTCTGTTGTTTCTTTGGTCATTTTCTGTCTTCTCTGTCTGGAACTTACATTGGTTCTAGGCTTCATTTCAGCACCTATAGTTACCTCGTTGATGCCAGGCTTTGTGCCCCTTTAAATGTCACTAGGGGGGTTGAGTGCCCAGACAAAGCTTGCCCTTGAAAATTTGAATCCATTCCTGTATTTTATATTGACTGAGAATCAGAAATACTAATGTTCTTTTTTTAAAAAATGAAACCCAGAAGGAACCTGCTAAAATAAGCAAACTTAATTTATAGATTTTCTTGGTGCTGCTGATCTTTTACTTGCTCACCTTTATTATTACTCACTGCTTGTGTTTTACTTAATAACTTTTAGCTCCTCACCTTTAAATCTTTCCATTAAGGACAAATAGAATGTATTTATTCCAGCAGCATTAACACACCCGAAATTGAGGCTGATCATCTAAATAATTCAACACAGTCTGTAAAGGCCAAATATTCTGGGCATCACGTAGTGTTTCACTGCAAGCAGTAGAAACTGATTGTGCCTTTAAAAAAAAAAGACTTATTGGCAGAAGTAAGGGAAGACATAAACAATCAATTCCCCAGAAGGCCAGTTGCCAGGACAGCTCGTCATTTCCAAGGTAGGAGTAAGCAGGCAGTCCTCTTTGGAGTGCTGATATTAGAAAGGCTTCCCTGGCACTTTGTCATTAATTCTGACATTCTGCTTAAGATGCAGGTGGCAAGGAGCAAGGCTGTTAGGTTTAGTGTAGCTCACATATCCATGTATGAGGTAGAGATGGGACCTCAGTGGACAGTGTTATTATGAGCACAAGTAGTGGAGGGTTATTCCCAAAGAGAAAACTGTGTTGTTGTCAACCATTAGACAAGACAAAAACTGCTTAAGTTCCCTGTGTTCTGTCCTGATGAGCAGTGCTCTGTTCTCACTCCTGTTCTCTTCTTCTAGTGCTGCCTCCTGTACTCGTGCCCAGACACAGCGAATATAACCCCCAGCTCAGCCTCCTGGCCAAGTTCCGCAGCGCCTCCCTGCACAGCGAGCCACTCATGCCGCACAATGCCACTTACCCCGACTCCTTCCAGCAGCCTCCATGTCCTGTGCTCCCTCTCTCGCCTGGCCACATGTTCTCTCAGTCCCCGTGCTCAGCCAGCTACCCCCACTCCCCAGGAAGCCCTGCTGAGCCAGAGAGTCCCTATCAACACTCAGGTCAGTAAGAGCCTCGGCCTATGGGAAAATCAGTCCAAAAGTAGACTTATGGTCAACCATCATAATGTAAGCGTTATAACTACCATTTGCATGGTGCTTTAAGGTCCTTTCCAAGGCAGTCTCTTGCCCGCATTGGGTCCCACCGACCCTCTGCCAGTATCAGGACCACACCCATTTGGGAACAGCTCTGCAGCCACATGTTTCTGCTCTGGTTTCTGGATCAAATCCTCCGGAATCACTGAGAAACTAAATGGATTTGAACACTGGGAAGTTCTGAAGATATTCTTTTTGGCCATAGAAATAAGATTAAAGATTTTGTTCCTATTTTTCCATTTTCTCATATTAATCCCATTCCCTTCTATCCTTTCCCCAGCCCTCCCACTTCCTTCCCCTTTGCCCCTTTTCTTCCTATTTCACATTACCTATTATACATTTAGTCCTTATTTACACTTTCAGTTTCTCACACCAGAGAAACTATTCGGTATTTATTCATGTGTGTCCTATTTATTTCACTTAAGAGTATCGCCTCAATGTGCATCCACTTCGCTATAAATGTCTCTAATTTCTCATTTTTTATGGCTGAGTAGTACTCCATTTTATAAAAAAAACCACATTTTCTTTATCCAGTCTCCTGAGAAAATGGAAAAATAGGAACAAAATCTTTGTAAATAGGGAGGAATGGAGGGGTTGAAGGGAGGGCTGGGCAAGGGTGAAAAATAAGAACCAAGAGAGACTATGTAAAGGTGCAAATTTCCAATGATGAATGTCATTATATTGTATACCTAAAATGTACCAATGATTAGAATGAATAATCGATAATGTAAAATAGGAAGAAAAGGTCCAAAGGGGTAGGGGTAGTGGGAGGGGCAGGGGAAAGGAAAGAAGGGAAAGGAAAAATGCTGAGAAATGGAAAAAATGTAAATAAAGTCTTTGTAAATAGGGAAGGCTGGAGGGGGTGAAGGGAGGCCTAGGAATGGGGAAAAAATAAGAACCAAGATGCATTATGTAAAGGTACAATTCCCAATGAGAAATGTAATTGTGTTGTATACCTACAATGTACCAATAAAAGAATTAAAACAAAAAAAAAAGATTAAAGCATCTCTCTCACCCAAGCAGAACGACTTGGGCTGAGGGCAGCCAACACAGAGGATCAGGGTTAAGCCTTTTCTTTCAACAATCTAAAGGGGCCCTGGTACAAAAGATGCACACACAGTGCCCATGGGGCAGAGTGAGGCTCCCTCCAGCCAGTGCGTTCTCACTTTTTGCTTTGTGAAGTCAGGTCAGCAGCTTGCTGGAGAGCTTTCTGGTAACTATTTGCTGAATTAAAGGTAGATATGAAAAAAAAAAGGGAGAATCTACTACGTTACCATAATTGCTTGTGCTGCCATACCTGTGAAGTGGGTCAGAGTTGAGATTCCAGGAATAGATTTATATGCACCTCATAAGTGTGAGATAAATAGTATCTGCCCCAACAAGTTTCTAAAGGCAAGCATTTAGTGTTCTCTCAGTCCCATGCCTAGTACCAGCTGCTACAATCTGCATCATTCGTTTATTCATGAATTCATTTATCTAACAGATATATATGAAATTCTTATTCTGTGCAAACCTTGCCTTAAGTTGCTAAAGAAGTAATTAAAAGATCAACCAACAATCCTCAAAGAACTTATAAAATGTGGGAAGATAAATGCCTGTAATCTCAGCACTCTGGGGTAAGGGGCTAGGGCAGGAGGGTCGAAAGTTCAAACCTACCCCAGGCAACTCAGCAACTTAGTGAGACCTTATCTCGAAATAAAAATGTAAAAAGGGCTGGGGATGTAGCTGGTGCGAAGGCACTGGGGTCAATCCCCAGTACTGTTTAAAAAAATGAAGGTAGCTAGGGAGTTGCCTCTTCCCTTCTGAGCTTTTCTTTTTGCCTCCTCAGCAGTTTATTCACGGATCTACTTTTACATTTGTTACATTATATTATATAATCCCTTCTCTTTTCTATGTCCAGCATAGAGCTAAAATGCAGTGATTACTCATGTCATTTGCTTGTTGAATAAAGAAATTACCATACGAGGGTTTGGAACATGGTATTAGAATTCAGAAGTAGAGATGTAGGTTTGATTGACTCAGTAAGTAGTGATTGTTCACCTGTGAAATGTCTAGCACTAGGCCAGTGCTAAAGTGCAATGAAAAATTAATTTAAAAAAAAAAGAGGCTGGGGATTTAGCTCAGTGATTCCACTGCCTGCCTCGCAAGCGCAAGGTCCCGATTTCGATCCCCGGTACAAAAAAAAAAGAAAAAGAAAAAAGTGCAATGAAGCTTAAAACCATAGTCTCTAACCATCAAGAGACAGGGACTGTGGAGAAAAATCATATAAAATAGTCACTACATGTGCTAGAGGCTGTAGCAGTCCAGCAAGTGATTATAAGGATTTGAACAAAAGCAGGCATGTGGTGACAGAAGGAGGCAATGAATTGGAGGAGGTAACACTGAAGATTATTTGAGGATAGAGCCATGGTTAAGGACAGGATAATTATGTCACAAAATACATGTGTACATAACACACATCTATGCTGTAAAGATTTCCTTGACTGACTTTGTATTCTGGCCTTGGTCATACTGACAAGTGGTTGTTGTCTTTCCTCTTCCCATCTGAGAAGCACAGACCCCAGCAATATACAGAAGCTGGTTAGTTTCTCACATGGCCCTTTGCATTTCAAAGAAAATAATTCCTTTCTGAACGATTAACAGCAAGATGCCAATCTCAATGGTAGATTCATGGATAAATAAAAGTAAAGGAACTTTTGAGATTAACTGGCCCAGTTTCTACTTTTTAACAGTTTTATCGAGATATAATGCACATTCCATATGATTCCACTCACTTTAAGTGTACAGTGAAATTATTTTAAAATATTAGATTAATTTTTCAATTGTGGTAAAATATATCTATCATAAAATTTGTCATCCTAACCATTTTTAAAAGTACAGTTCAGTGGTATTAAGTACATTCACAAGGTTGTATAATCATCATCACTATTTGAAAATTTTTTTTACTACTCCAAGTAGAAACTGTACAAATTAACCAACAGCTCCCCATTTTCCACCATCCTCAGCCCCTGGTAACCTCTAATCTACTTTCTGTTCCTATGGATTTACCTCATGTGAGTAGATGCATGTACTATCTGCATATTTGTGTCTGGCTTATTTCATTTAGCAAAGTGTTTTCACAGTTCATCCGTGTTATAGCATGTATCAGTACTTTGTATTAGTAACCAAATAATATTCCTTTGTATAAATATACCACATTAAAAAGCCCATTCATTGGTTGTTGGGTATTTTGGTTGTTTCCACCTTTTGGCTGTTGTGAATAAGGCAGTTATCATCTTAGCAGGCAAGTATCTGTTTGAGACTCTACTTTCAGTTCTTTTGAGTATGTACATAAAAGTAGAATAGCCCTGTTACATGATTTATGTTCAACCCCTTAATTTTCTAGATAGAATTACTCAAGGGCCTGCAAAAGGACCATTTTAATATTTTCCACTAGAATCACAGTCTGTTTTATCTCAGAAAAATGCCTTATCCATGGCTTCCTAGAATTCTAACCCCTGTGATAAAATTGCCATAGGACCTATTACAATGTAGATGGCTATGTCCAACCTCCAGTCTACTGAGTCAGAGTTTCTGGGTGTGCACCAGTAATCTGCGTTTTTAGCAAGCTTCTCTTGCAGTCTTTGTGTACACCTTGTATGATACTGCTTGTGTAGACAATTACATAAAGGCATTTTGGTCTGAGCTTTTATGTGATTGAATTCTGTCACTGATACTGTAACAAGATACTTCTGAAGTAACATTAGGAATGGAAATTGAAGGAATCAGTTATTCTGAGGCCCTTTGAGAAGTTTTTTTCTGATTTAGAGTCTTTATTGTGCTATGAATTGCATCCAAATAAAATGTCATTTATCATTTGCCCAACCATGATCACAGGTTATATAGGATATAACCATGAATTATAGGACCAATATTTGGAAGAAATATGCTTTGCATACAAAGTTAGAACTAGGCTTCATCTATTCTGTTTTGTAAGTGTATCTTGAAGTTTCTTGGGTACAGATCACCCTTGTGATTGTTGTACAATCCATGACAACCTAAGAGCTGAAAATAAAGCTTATTTCAAGGAAGAGCCAGCTTTCTCTGTGTTTCACAAGCCAGATAAAGCTATTCGTTTGAGAAAAATGCAGTGAACAGCTCCTAGATTTGAAAATCTTGTCATGAAGTCATTTAAATTCAATGTTAACTCAAAAGTCAGAGGAAAAATAAATCAACCCTTCACTGCAGATCTCAGCACAAGTTACTTTGATAGGAAACTCACAGTGTCATTCAGAAGAATTTTGTTATATTAATTAGTATGTTTTCTTTTTAGCAGAACACAGCCTAGAAGCTTAACAGCAAAAAATAGTCTGGACCAACTGTCTTTGCATAGTTTATCAGTTTGACAATTCCTCTGTTCTATTGCTCCCTGGAGCTGATGCACCACCCTGCCTTGTCATACCTAGATACCCCAGAGACCCCCGCCCATGGCAGACCTTAGATACTGCAGCTGATGGTCATTTAGTGCCATCAGTACTTAACAGAGGTAAACTGTAGGTGAACAGCTAAATGTAACTATTTCCTAAGAGCATTTCCTGTCCTCCCTCTCCTATCAAAACAAAACAAAAATATGCCAGCCAACTATTTTATATGTGTTTTGACAGGCAGATAGCATGGCTTTGCATTTTAACTTGGGAATTCCTCAAAACCAGAGAATGAATTTTTTTTATGCTCGATACTAGAATAAGTTAATTTTTTATTTTAACCTAGTATTTAGAAGTTTTTAGGGTTTTTTGTTGGTGGTGGGGCTTTTTGTTTTTTGGGTTTTTGGAGGGCAAGGTTTCACTACAAGGCTGGGCTGGCCTGAACTCCTAGGCTCAAGCTATATGTCTGTCTCAGCTTCCCAAGTAGCTAAGACTGTATGGTGGTACTACCACACTGGACTTAGATAAATAAAATTAAATAAAATTTTATATTTAGTGTTTCTGATTTTGCTTTTGACATGCTCAAATTATTATTTTTTGTCTTTGGTTAGCCCAGAGATTCAGTTTGGCACAGTAAGATGTTTTCTTACCTATGTAAAGATGAGGTGGTGTGTCACCTTCCTTTTAGCTGTGGTTATTTTGATGATTTTATTTTACATCTATCTATTCATGTTTTCTCCCTGGTCCTCTCAATGCTAATACCCATGTTCACAAATGCTTTAAGCATGGAAGATTCATGTGGACTGAGGCCTCTACCCCACAGGTGTGCTAACCAAATGAGCTAACCCCAAGCAGCTTCCACTGAAGCTTCCCAGTCAGCTTCTGCTGAAGACAAGGAGAATAGATGTTCTGTGTTGCTCACTGGGAGCTAATTCATAGGTTTAAGAAGCAATGTGAGCAAGAGTCAGGTTTAGAAGATTGCAAACCAGCATACTTGGTCTTGCAGGCAGCTTTCTGGTTTAAAGCATTAATCTTTGTTTCCTGGTGCAGTCTTGAGCTGTGAAGCCCAGGTATGACAGTAACAATGTACTGTCTGACTCACTGTTTTTCAGACTTCCGGCCAGTTTGTTACGAGGAACCCCAGCACTGGTGCTCGGTCGCCTACTATGAACTGAACAATCGAGTTGGGGAGACGTTCCAGGCTTCCTCCCGAAGCGTGCTCATAGATGGATTCACTGATCCTTCAAATAACAGGAACAGGTTCTGCCTAGGACTTCTTTCAAATGTAAACAGAAACTCGACCATAGAAAATACTAGAAGACACATAGGAAAGGGTAAGAGCCAGTATGTCATGCCTTGTTGTAGTTATCTGAGCTCAGGTGTGGAAACAGAAACCAGTTACAAACTGGTGGTGTAGCTTTGTGGAAGGACACTAAGGCTGGCATCACCACTGGGGGCAGGGCAGGGAAGGGACTTTCAGGGTCCTGGTCTCTCTGCTTCTTCAGTGGTAGTGTGGGGTGGGTGTTGTGAAGACAAGACCGATGATAAATATGAAAGTGAGATTAGATTATTTGTTGGAAGTGTTGTGTATTATTTTTTGAATTGCCTATAGATGCTAACTAGGATGACTTCTGAAGAAGAGGAATTTTGACTGATTATTAATATCATGTAAAGTCATCTTTAGAGCTGTAGAAGCTAGGGATTTAAAATTAATGATCAACTTGGCGTTTGGAAGCATTTGGTCGGTGACTGGGGTGTCCGTGTCCAGGCAGCGCTGTGACAGCTGAGTGGGCAAAGGCCACTTGTCTCTGACTCATGATGCCTTGGAAGCCGCCTCATATCTGTCAGCAGTGGTGGCCTGTCCCAGCTGAGCCTGAGGCTGGGTTGAGGATCTTAGATACTCTCTTACATTGGAATTGTTGATGTCTCTGCTTGATACTCCTCAGGAGTCAGAGAGGAAAAGTACCTTTTAGGGTCATTTGATCTTTTCTCTCCCCATCCAGCCTGACAGTCCTCAAGCCTCTTCTTTCAAATTTCTAGGGGATATTAATAGCCTTCCTAACATACTTTCTAAATGGCCCCTGCTGTAGAATAACACTGATTAGAAACAGATTGAACTTACTCACTGATGCTGACTTTGTGTGTGTGTGTGTGTGTTTCACAGGGGATTGAACTCAGGCCCGTCACACTGAGCTACATTCCTAGGCCTTATTTATAGAGTCTCACTAAGTTGCCCAGGCTGGGTTTGAACTTGGAATCCTCCTGCCTCAACCTCCTAAAGTGCTGGGATTACAAGAATGCACCACCAGGCCTAGCTGATGTTGACTCTTAATACACAGGTTTTTAAAAAAAATGTTTATTTACATTCTGTCTCTTCCATAGTGGCACTGAGGCAGCTTAAAAGGCAGTGAAATGATAAATGAAAAATAGTAAGAAGCTATGAGTGGGAGGAAGAGAGAACACATATACAGTTGGCCCTCATGTTTGTAGGTTCCACATTGCTGATTCAACCAACCTCAGATCAAAAACATTCAGAAAAAAAATCGTTATCTGTACTGCGCATACTGAACTTCTTAATGTTCTCTAAACAATACAGTATGACAATGATTTACATATAATTTACATTACATTAGGTACTGTAAGTCATCTAGAGATGAGTTAAAGGACATGGAAGGATACGAGTAAGTTTGGTGTAAATCCTATGCCAGTGCGTAGGAGAGACTTGAGCATCTGCAGAGTTTGGTCCACAGCAAGTCCTGGACCCCATCTTGCATGGGTGCCAAGGGGCGGTTGTACATCATTAGGATTAGTGTCATGACTGTGTGATTCTGCGCTAGGTTTCCCAATAGCAAGGAGAGAAAGGGGAAACTCAATCTGTAATGTAATTTTTATTCCAAGCAAGGAACATGACCATTCCTGAATGGAAATAATATTTTGATTAATTTCTTAAGCAAATTTCTCAGTTATAGCTTTTATTTTAAATGATTTTTGTAAAAATCTTCAGTGAAGGCTGGGGATTTAGCTCAGTGGTTTTGCCACCTGCTGCTCAAGCGCAAGGATCCGAGTTCAATCTCCGGTACCAAAAAAAAAAATCTTCAGTGAAATCTAAAGACGAAATGTTAACATTTAACATTGTGGGCCTGTTTACTGATCACTTTGCAGATTGGTTTACATGGAAAACATCTGTTGGTACCAGTGAGTCCAAAGATGGAAGGAAAATGTTGTAAGAGTATTGACCATCCCTGGCAGGCTTTCTTCAAGTAGCTTGTTCAAGGTGCTTCTGATGAAGATAAGGAGAATAGATGTTCTGTGTTGCTCACCGAGAGCTAATCCAAAGGTTTAAGAAGCCATGTGAACAAGAGCCAGACTGATGACATCTTCCAAAAGCCAGGATACCTAACTCAGGGCTCTCCTGGATGGACAGACACTCCACTATCATATGGTCCCTAAGGAAAAGTCACAGAAAGATTTCCAGTTATCTACTTAGGTATTACTCTAATATGACACACAAATATCTCTGTCTATCTTTCTATCTATCTATCTATCTATCTATCTGAGAGAGAGAGTGAGAGAGAGAGAGCCAAGGTATGCCACAAAGTAGAAAAAGTGTTGGCTTGGAATATTTTAGAGTTTAGTGGGTTGGTCTCCTATGGGATCACAGGCCTCTCTCTTGGAGGTTGCTGGGGATTATTTGCCTCTGAATAGCATGGTTTAGAGACCACATGAGAAACCAGCCTAAGTTTACTACAAAGTGCACTTCTAGGTTAGCAAGTAATTTAACTTTCTCCATGGAGTTAATTAATGGAGACACAGATTTTAAAGGTTTGCATTTATCTCACTAATATTTACTGAGCACCTTTTCTCAACCAAACTGGACGTGAGGAATAAGGCAATGAAAACAAGACAGAACCTCCTGCTTTCTTAGGTCACATGCAAATAGGGAAAGATAGGCAAGAAATCATCTGTGTAGAAAGTGAAATAGAGGAAGACCAAGCTAGGAAAATTTATTAGTTTTCCTGTCACTGGGACAAAATACCCAACCCCAACTTAAAGGGGTTTGATTCACAGTTTCCAGTGGGTTGAGTCCAGAGCTGGCTGGCCCTAAGGCAAAAACAGCATGGTGGACAGGCCTGGCAGAGGAAAACTGCTCATCCCATGGCAGCAAAGAATGGAAGGAGAAGGGAGGAACCGGAAGAAGACTATACCCTTTGAGGTCACCCCCAGTGACCCACCTCCATCTAGACCCCACCTCCTCATAGCACATTCAGTTATTGAACTCATCGTCTCCTTTCAGACATATAGTACTTTGGGGGAACATTTTAGATCTAAACCCTATGGGGAGGACAACAAGAAGGGGGCCTGCTCTACTTTAGACCAGGGTAGCCAGGGAAGGCTTCCTTAGAAGGTGACATTTGAGTTGGGTACAGTGGCGCATGTGTGTAACTCCAGCAATCTGGAAAGCCGAGGCAGGAGGAACACAAGTTTGAGCTCCGCCTCAAACTTAGCAAGACCCCGTCTCAAAGTTTAAAAAGGGGCTGGGATATAGCTCAGATGTGGGGCATTTGTGTGAGAAAAGTGAAGAAGTGGCATTAGACCAGCAAGGTAAAGAGAATGAGCAACCAGGATCTCTGGGGGGAAAGCTTTCTAAGCAAAGGAAATTGAAAGTACAAAGGCTCTGAGCCTGCCTGACCTATTGTTCGGAAGAGCCCAGGAGCCAGGTGTGGTGCTGAGTGAGAGGACAGGACCAGCTCACTGGGCCCCTGAGCTTATGTTAAGGCCTAGCTTTGACTTGTGAATGGGAAGATAGATTTATGCTGAGGCATTCATATGATCTGAATTTACACTCTTGAAAGATTTCCTGGCTTCTATATTGAGATTCAGTTGTAACAGGGATGAGGTGAGTAAGATTATCTGAAAAAAATATTTTTATTATAGTTAGTAAAGTTGTATAATAGTTAGTATAGCTATTATAGTTAGTATAGTTGTCTCCCTTGATAAATTATCCAATTAGATTTGCAGTCACTTGGGTTTGGGTTCTGTATTATTAGAAGCAGCCAAGTTGGCTAGTCCTCTGAAAGGAAGATCATCTGGTCACCCAGTCAGCTGTGCCTGCACTTTAAGTTATGCTTTCTCTAGGGGGCAGGGGTTGTGCCAGCTCACCCACACTTTTGTACCCTGCTTCCTAACTCGTGAGGCAAGCTTGAGGCGGTGGGGCTTCTACAAGCAATGTATTTGTAGCCATATACTAGTTAACTGGGGCAAAGGGAAGTTGAACCCATTATTTTGACCACACTTGCAAAACACTTTAAATAGCTACTAACGAGTTAGCACTACATACCAACGGCCTCCACTTACATATCAGAGGCAATACCAGCCAGTCTGGAACACGGAATGGGATCCATCCACATTCTTCCTTGAAAACCAAGCAAACTAGTGGAACTCTTTTCAGTGACATGCAGAATATAAAAATAATGATAATAATGGTGATAGCTACTCCTGTTGATCACTGGTGTGTGTGAGACACCCTGGCGTGCACTTAGACTTAGTATTTCTAATTCTTACAGTCACTCTACAAGTAAGGCTTCGTTTGAGACACATGAAGATCAGAAAGCTCAGTAGGTTACAAAAGGCCACACAGTGATTCCAGAGGCACCCACTCATGGCTCAGCTGTCCCCTCTGCTGGAGAGAAGAGATCCTCCTACCTTTTTGTCTTGGTGTACTTCCTGGTGCTTTGCTTATAGAACCAAGTCTTGGAGCTGAGAATGAAAGCACAGTCACATGCCTCAGCAGTGGTGTGTTCTGGCCAACTCTATGATGTTTAAAGAAGCCCATGCTTATACAGTGCTGAAATTTTATGACACTTTGCTCTTTCTTTCAGTACTAGGTTGAACCCAGGGGCTTCACACTATGCTACATCACTAGCCCTTTTTAAAAAAATTGATTTTTAAAGTTTGAGAAATGTTTTTGGTAAGTTGCTTAATTGCCCACATTGGGCTCAAACTTGTCATCCTCCTGCCTCAGCCTCCCAGAATACTGCAATTATGATTTGCTTTTAAAGTGTATGTAAAAAATTTTGTTTTCCTTACAAAAATATCATGCTGGAAAAGGAATCTGCACTCCTACTTACTCAGAGCCTTGAGGACCTTTGTGGAAGGATTAGAAGGGTCTTTGCAAAAGTAGACAAAGAACTACTGACATATAATACTGATGTGTGACTGAACAAAACAGAGCCAGGGGCTGGGTCCTGATGATTTGGGAATGACGTGACAACCAGCTTAGATGACTGGAGGATAATACTTGCCTGCCTTTTTAAAGTGGCTCTTAAGATCATCT